CTGGGAATCCAACCACTAGCAGTGGGGTCTTTGGCTTCAGCCCTGGGCTGTGCTATGGGTGTTGCCCAGCATTCTGTGTTCCCTCCAAGAGCTGGGCGTCCTTCTGGCACACTGGTGTTACAGATTTCGTTCCTGTGGTCAAAGGGCCGCAGCCCTTGGCCATGCCTATCCTGGTGTCCTTCAGGACCATGGGAGCGTCTCACTCTATGTCTCCCTCCAGCCAGCCTAGACTGCCTGGTATGCCATCTTTGTCCCAGATGCAATATCTCCATCCCTCATGACTATAAGATTATGTGGCTCCTACACCATGCCCTCTACTCTTGTCATCTACACACACATCTCTGAAGTGTCTGTGTGATGTTTTACATGTGAAATGCACAAGGCCCACACCGGTCCGCTGACAGAGCACTTCTCAGCCATCTTGGGTGTGTGTCAGGTGCGTCACTGGGCCACGGGAGGCTCTCCTAGTGTTGTCTGCTCTGCGTTGGAAGACATGAATGAACCATGACTGACCATGCAGTCCTGGGCAGTGTGCCCTCTGTTTCCTTTTGTAGCATTACAGGCAAATGTCGTTGGATAAAGTGCATTTGAATGCTTTTAGTTTTATTACCAGAAAATGTAGCATATCAGAGAGAATGACTGGGATGTTTGTTCTTTTGACCAAAGACAGAAATGTGTTTATATTGGTTCCAAATACCTTTTTGGTGTCTAGTTTCAAATTTAAAAGGGATTCAGTCCTTGAGGCTAGCTCTTAGAACTTACACAGTTGGTCATCTGCATGATGTCCTTTGTGCTGAGGGGCTGTGTCTCGTCACAAGCTGACACTTCATCATATATGTCCATCCTAGTTGGCCAGCTTTTGTGATATATGTGCAAGGCCAGGAGACATTTGTCACCTTCTCTCTCTTTCCAAGTTCTTGTAGGATCGTGGGAAGGAGGGAAAGGGGAGGTTCCAGGACCACAGGCAAGAGGATGAAGTGGCTTGCTGGGGTCCAGGTTCCAGATACCACCTGGAAGCTGGACAGACTCTGTTCTCATAGGATGGGACGTTTCTCCTCTTTTCAGCTTCTTCCCTTCTGTTTCTCATATTTGGGTTGTCTTTTTCTGCTTTATCCTGCTTCTGTTTCCTCTCTCCTCTCCTCCCCTTCCTTACTGTCTCCTATGGCTTTAACTCACAGAATGTGATCAAAGCCATGGTATCATTAATTCTCAGAGATTCCAGGATGTGGACCAAGAAGGGTAGAAACATCTACTTTCTCTGTGTGTACAGAATGCAGGAGCATTTAATGTTTCCTGTATTTACCTTTGGTGGAAATTTCAACACAGAACTAAATGTAAGTTGAGTTTTTTGTGCTCTGTTAACATACTTCTCATTTTTTCTTAAGATTTTAAGCATTGACCTGAGCGTCTTTTAGAAAAATATAGACAGCCCTCAACTCACAATGGTGCAACACTTTTTTGACTTTACGATGGTGCAGAAGCTATATGCATTCATTAGAAACAGAGCTTTGTATTTGGAGCTTTGAGTCTACATTCTTTATAATAGCTTCTTATAAACAGTCTTTGTGTTGGTTGATTTTACCAACTGTGGGGTAATTTAGGTGTCCTAAGTGCATTTGAGGTGGGCTGAGCTAAGCCAGGGTGTTCAAGAGGTTAGGTGTATTAACATGTTTTCTTTTCTTGAAAGCAGTTTTATAACTTTGTTTGATGTACTTGATGATCAGTGATTAGTTGTCATCCACATTGGCTGTAGATTTTTGAAAGTTGTAACAGGTACATAGGTAACCAAAGTATAAAGCTTGGTGAGTCTTCATCCTCATTACGTTTTATGGACAACCGCACACGGATATGGTATGGGACATTCCTTATTCCCTTGGCCCAAACAGCTTTGTTGAACCTGGTATCAATGTGTACATCTGGAGTCCTCATCTTCTTCATGGCAGATTTTCAGATCTCTTTGAGTGCCTGAGGGGCATACTTCTTGAAGCCTACTCCATGGATGCACTTGTGAATATTGATGGTGTATTCTCGGGTCACCACCTTGTTGATGGCAGAATGGCCTTTCTCGCCATCCTTCTTTGCGGGTGCTATTCTGCCGGACCGAAGTTGGAAAGGAAGACCACGAGGAATTGTCTAAACATGTTTTCAATCTCCAACGGGTTCATCAGGATGTGGCCCCATAGTGAGTTGAGGAGCTGCTGTCATTCAGTGCAGAGAGCTGGTTTTCAAAAAGTGCAGTTGCTTTTTGTGTGTGTGTGAAAGAAGACCCTAGAATCATGTGTTATTCCCAAACAGATACTTTTATGAGTCGAGCAGAGAGAGGGAGAGACTTCAGACACAGTTTAGTAAGATCAGTTTTGATGTGTCTCCAGGATTTGGGAATGACTGTACAAAATACTTCCTAGATCTTTATACAGCTGATGGAATGGGCACACACGCTACTCAGCTATCCACCACACATGTGCATTGGCGAGGATGCCTGAGGTCCTTTTCAGGTTGGGATGCAGTGCTAATGGTGGGTCACAGGAAGATCCCGTCCAGGTCCCTGGGCTGCTGCTGTCAAATTAAAAATAACAGATTTCAGAAGTGCCCTTTTCTTTCTTGAGAAGGTATGATGTAGAGTTCAAGGCCCTAGGTATTTTCAGAATAAAATTGAATAGAGTATTCTAACAGGGGATTTGCTATCAAAACAGAGTAAACAGCTATTTAAATATACTAGTGAAGGGTAAATGTCAGTCACATCCTAGAATTAACTAACTAGATGCTCTCTATTAAATGTCTTTAGCTTGAGTGTTTCCAGTCACATTTAAGACAATAATAACAACCTAATAAAGCTTCTGTTTTATTTAATTGACCATTGATTACAGCGTTTTTGCCTTTTAGTATTGAAGGTGAGGATGTGTTTATTGTCACTCTTCAGTCCACATGTTGATATGTCTGAAAACTGTAGACTGAGTGAGTTGGAGAGCATGACTGTAACTTCTAATGGAAGCTACCACAGACCCACTTCTCTCTCTTTGTCAGAGCTTTCTGTCTGCCCTGCTTGGATCTTTACTCTGGAGCGGCAGCCCTTGCACCTTATATCCTGGCTGTTTTGTGTCATTGCATGTGTGACCCTCCACAGCCTTCTGCAGGAATCAGGTCCTGGTCCCTTGGGGTCCTGTGTGGCATCTTGAAGCTGAGCCAGGTGTGCAGGCCTCACATCCCTTCTAGGAGGCAGCTGGGCAGTGAGGATGCACAGGCTGACCCAGTCCTGTCTCCCTCAGTAGCCCCTCACTGGGGAGTGTATTGAGCAGAGTTGTGCTCTTGGGAGGTGGCCCCCAAGAGCTACCACTTGAAATCCATGGGCATTGCTGGTGCATAGGGTAACCAGAGCCACCACCACCTGGCATAGCCACTCCATGATGGGTGGAGCTCCACGTGATTGGTTCCCTGGTTGAGGGGGGTCTCCATGTGATTGGCTCCCTGGTGGGTGAGCCCCTCCACATGATCAGCTCCCTAATGGAGGGGCTGGTGTTCAGCTCCCTGGTGGGCAGGGCCCCTCCATGTGATTGGCTCCCTGGTGGGCGAGCCCCTCCACATGATCAGCTTCCTAATGGAGGGCTGCTGTTCAGCTCCCTGGTGGGTGGGGCCCCTCCATGTGATGCGTGATAGACCAGATGCCAGACCAGGCCCCGTTTTGCACTTCCTTCTCCCTTCTCTGTGCACAGGGGAGGAGGTGAGAGCTTGAGCTCTGGGGCCTGAACACCCTCATCCAGGTGTCACCCTCACTTACTCTGACCGGGCCTCTCCCACCTGCAAGGGGGAGTACCCGCATACCTGATGTTGAGGTTCATGGAGACACTGGAGCTGTGTCAGGCACCAAGTGAGATCTGACTGAAAGGACCCCCAATGCCTGCTCTCTCTCACCTGCCATCTTTTTCCCTGCTCCATCCCTTCACCTCTTATATCCAAGCATATCTCATGTTGTGTGTCCCAAGTGGGAGGTACATCAGAAAACAGGCATGCAGGCATTCTGATGAGCATCCTGGGACGTGTGCATGTCCCCCACAGGGGCTGTTCTCTTCCCAAGTTCTAGGGACCATGGACTCCTTCCAGAAACCAAGTTACCCAGGAGTCATAGTGTGGATCTTACTGAGCTGGAGAATTTTAAGCAGATACCCTGATTATATACCACAAAATCTATCTGTGTACTAGAAATAAAAACCCTGCTAGAATATTGCACAGAACTTAAACTGAATCTCAGTTTGCTATGTGGCCACCCTGGGGAGGTAGATTTTCAAACACCAGTGCTGCTTGGTGCTATGGCGTTGGGTTTGTACACATTTCTCATGACTCCGAGTGTCTCTGCTGGCAGGATTGGTGTTAGGAGAGTTGATGTTTGTTTGAAGGATTAGTGTTTTTTGAGAGGGTTGATGTTGGGAGGGCTGGTGTTTGTTTGAAGGGTGTCAGGAGGGTTGGTGTTTGTTGAGAGGGTTTTAGTATGTCGGGAGGGTTTGTGTTTATTTGAGGGGTTGGTATTGAGAGTTGGTATTTGAAGGATTGGTGTTGGGAGGGTTGGTGTTTGAGGGTTGGTGTTTTGGGAAGATGGGGTTGTTTGAGGAGTTGGTTTTGGAAGGATTGGTATTTGTTGAAAGGGTTGGTGTTGGTTTGAGAGGCTAGTGTTGGGAAGGTTGGTATTTGTTAGGAGGGTTGGTGTTTGTTGGGAGGGTTGGTGTTGGGTTTGAGGGGGTGGTGTCAGAAAGATTGGTGCTTGTTGGGAGGATTGGTGTTGGGAGGGTTGGTGCTGGAAAGGTTTCAGTTCCAGGTCCTGGGATTCAAGTGGAAGGTAGAACCAAACCCTGCTCTTGCCCCGTTGTACCCTGTTCTCCTACATTGGAATCATGAAGGCTGGAGCCTGCTTGGAAGCAACCTGTCATAAACTTTTTGTCCCCCTGGGGCAGGTTATATGGACTTTACACAAGTGGTCCGTAGCCCACTGACTCTCAGCCGTTTGCCAGGTGGACGACATCCTGGGAGAAGGCAGCGACGACAGCGACAGTGAGAAGAAGAGGCCAGAGGAGTCGGACGGGGTCCTGCAGCCCAGGAAGCCAGGGCTACCAGGGGCCCACAGGGAGCACATGCGTGCAGGCTCAGGAGACAGGAGCGTAGCAGGTGTCCGTGGGCTCAGGTGAGGCGGGCCCCTGAGGGGGTGGGACCTGGGGAGGACACGGTGCTAGACATGTCAGATACCTTCGTTGTACATTATTGCAATTGCCCCTTGTACAGCACTGGTTGGAGGCACTGATGCCCATGAAGTGAAAATCAGGATTTCTTCTGATCTTCCCAGAACTTAGCTACTAGTGGCCTCCTCTTGGCCAGAAGCATGCCAATAACACAGTTGATTAGCATGTACTTAGTATGCACTATGCATTGCATACTGTATTCTTACAGTAAAATATAGAAGAGAAAACTTTTTTTTAGATCACAAGGTAAAGAAAATATACTTACCATTCATTAAGTAAAAGTGAATTGTCATGAAGATCTTTGTCCTCCTGGTCTTCTCATTGAGTAACTGAAGAGAAGGAGGATGGTCGTTTGGTCTTGCTGTGTCTCAGGGTGGCCAGGGGGAAGGAGGTCCCTGTGTGAGTGGACCCTGTAACTCAAACTCATGTTCAAGGGTCAACTGTATTAGCATATTGTTTCTTACCAAAACCAGTGCTGTCTGGTCTTGGTTTCAACATTTCATCAGCAGCAGTTTGGGTGTAACACTTTCATGCACAACAGAGAGTGGGCAGAGAAACCTACAGATGCTCAAATAACAGATTCTTCAGACTAACCTTTTCAGAATGTCACATTCATGGTCACATGGATTTTTATCATGTTTTTTAAATTTCAAGTATTGCTTGGGAAGGTTACTTCCTCCTCATAAAGTCTTAGTGGTGGCACCTATGCATATTGAGACACTGGCCAGTGTGCCATGTCCATGCTGCAAGTGAAGGTAGGATCCCCCGTGCACACTTGGGGATGCACAGAGCTCTCAGCACCTAACCAATGTTGTCAGCTCTGGAGGCGATTCTGTCATTGAGAGAGTGTGATGTGTCTGTTCTCTGTCCCCATATTCTGTTGTGTATCCCCAAAACCTTTATTCAGTAGCCCCTGCTGCTGGCATTTGGATGTCTCCATGTTGACCTCACTCTGTCTTCCTGTCTTAGACAGGTGTGTGTATGGTCTGTAGGTGGGACTGCCATCTCCTGAGTATCATGTATTGGGAGTGATGAGTGGCGTGCCCATCTTGCCTGTGAAAGGTACCCCATCACTGGTATGCAGGCGGTGGGCAGGGCTGATCTCTGCAGCAGATAACTTGGGGATTGGACACCTTGCTTTGTTTCTTTGTTTTTACTAAATTTCCTGCCCATGATAGAACTGAAATTCACAGATGAAATGCATCAGGATCGGTTTAGAGGAAAGCCCTTGATTTGATAACATGTACATGCATCCTGGTAGGCCGATAGGGCAGGACTGGGTATCATCACAGCCTGCTTTTAGCCCCTGGGATCTTGGGAGCCACCTGCCATTTGGCATGTCCAGGTTGAGTGTTAATGGAGGAGAAACCCAGCTCATGGCTCAAAAGCCTGACAGAATGGTTGTGGTGAGTACTGTAAACAAGGAGCCTTTAGGGACGTGGGTGAGAGGGTGGTCAGAGGTGGGCAGGATCCCAGTAAGTGCCATGCTGCAGCCTGCTTTCTTTAGCTGAGAGTTCTAAGTGCTGAGAACCACACCTCTTCATTACTGCTCATCAGGGATGGAGGATCATTGCTTTAGTCCCAGTTTTACTTTGTTTTACAGGTTTATTTGATTTTGGTGATTTTAGAGTTTGAGATCAAAAGACTAACACATCTTAAAAGTTTGGTCAGATTCAGCTTCTTTTTATGCAGACCCTACTACAAAGCTTTCTCTCATGTGTCACCAAGATCAGTGGTAGTCCATTACAACTTGCTGACTGTTCTGCCCCATGCCTTGTTTGTTCCATTTCCTGGATTGCTGTGTGTATGTTGTCATCATAAAAGCTTTGCTGCTGCAGACCTTTATGTGCTCAGTAGGAAGGATGGGTATGATTGGATTCTGTTCTATGTTCCCTTGTCCTTGTTATTTTTGTGACTCTGGTTTAGGGGACTTCACTCCTTTTTTTACCAGGGAACTTGGAGAATATGGTTTTCCTTTTGTATTTTGTTCCCATTTTATGGGGATTAGAATGGAAGTATGGATTTTTAAAAATTTTTTCACATATTTTTATTTAGAATCAAGTAAAATATGTTTTGTGTTTTTTGTTTTGTTTTTTGCACATAGGGCATTTAGATTTCATAATGATTCTTTTCCCATACGTGACGACACATTCCAGGCTGAAACACAGGTTTGATTTTGCACATAAGTGTTCTGGTTGGCAGCACATCTTGCTAATTTCACATGGCCAAGCTGTTCTACAGAATCTTAATATCACTTGAACTTGAAAATGATTTGTAACAGAAGGAGGAAGGTTGTATTTTTTACTTCTCTACCAAAAATGGATTCCTTCATCTTTCACATCAACAAACATTAAATGCCTGCTATATATGCAGCAATTTGCTGGGAACCTTCATTTCTTAAAGTAAATCCTCAAAATAAACAAGACAGTATATGTATGAAGAGCATTTCCCCAAGCAAGATAGCTTCAGAATACTTAAATACCCCACAGACACATCATCATTACAGGTACTGAGGGGACAGGAACGCCCACAGGCTCTGTGGGTCTTGCATGTTGGGTCTGTTTTCCAGCAAGTGCTTGTTCTTACACTGTTGGTGGTAGGAGGAGAATCATGGCTCCCAGAAGGCAACTTTGAAACATGAGACTTTTTCTTCAGATTGTTCCTAGAGTTAGTAGAGAAGTCAAAGCGACATTTAATTAACTGCCGAAAAATGTTGCGTCGCATTGCTGGTAACTGTTGTGCTGGAGTCAAGAAGATGAGGTGGCAGTTTCCATTATCTATCAACAGTGACAACAGCCGAAGACTTGTTCTCTCAGTACCAAGAAATTTTAGTCTTGGCACTGCTTCCTGTCCCATCTGGCACAGTGATAAACAAGCAAGGAAAATAGCACCATGTTTTAAAGGCTTAATTTCCTGACACAAGTACCCAGCTATTGACACTCGAGTCTTCTCCGTGGGGGCGTGTGGCCTGCCTGCACTGCAGATATGTGAACAGCCAGCCAGGCTCTTCCCAAGTCTGTTTTGCCTCTTCTCCTTTAAGAAGATTACATCTTTTTCAACACTTGTATATAGATAGACAGCACTAGGTAATGCTCCAGAGATGCTCACACATAAAAGTTGTTTTTAATCTTGGGTAGTTAACCAAGCAAGATAGTCCTTATAAGAGAACAGAGCAGAAAAAATATTCAAGGAAATAATGGTTGAAAACTTACCAAATATAATGGAAGACATTAATTTATAGGCCCCAGAAGCTCAGCAAACCCCAAGTAGGATGAGCACAAAGATCCACACCCAGGCACATCATAGTAAAAATGCAGGAAGTCAGAGAAGAAAATCTGGAAGAGCAGCAACTGACTCTTCATAAACAGAGGCCAGGAGGCAGGAGATGGCATAGTCAAAGTGCTCAAAAACACTGCCAGCCAAGACTCCTATGTCTAGCAAAACATTCCTTCAGAAGTGAAGGCAAGACTTTCTCAGATAGACACACACTGAGAGTTCATTGCTAGCAGACCCCTGTACACGAAATACCAAAAGCAGGAGACTTCAGATGAAAATCTGAGTCCACATAAAGAGCACCAGAAATGTAAATATATGAGATAACATAAATGCTATTTTCCATCCTTTCTTCTCTTGACTGATCTAAAAGGCAATATAGTTCTATAGTATAAAACTATATGCGCATAATTGTGCTATTTGGACCATAACATGCAGAGATGCAGTGGCAAGTAGAAACACACCTGTTTTGGAATAAGGCAGTGACAATAGAGGGTGACTCAAATCCAAAGGAAAAGATGGAGCGAACCAGAAATGGTCAACAAGTACATATACTTGCTCCCGTTTCTTCCCTCAGCATCAGTAAAGACATAAAATTGTATAAAGTAATAATTATAGCAATGTGTCATTAGGTTTAAACATACAGAGATGTAATATTATAACAATAGTAGCACAAGAGGCAGGAAGGGAAGAGAGCTCTATGTAGGAGTCATATTTCTATAGCTAACTGGACCTACACCAGGATAAATCTGAAGTAAACTCTGGTCATGTGAGGTATATATGGTGGACCCTAGAGCAGCCACTCAAGAAATAACTCAAAAAACATGTAGTGAAAAAAATCGTTTAAGGAACTAAACCATTACCTTAGAAAATACTTATTGCAACAGAAAGCAGTAAAGGGGAAACAGGAACAAAATACACATGAGAAATGATAAAAATAAAATGACAGGTATAAATTTAAAGGCATCAACAGTATTAAATGTGAATGGACTAAATAATCCATTCAAAAGGCAGACACTGTCACCCTGATGAAAGAAACGTGATCCAACTAGGTTCTGTCTACAGGAAATATACTTGAAATTCAGCAATACAAATGGATCAAAAATAAAACAATGAAAAAAATAGCCGGTCAAACAGCAGCCGTGAGAAAGCTGGGGTGGTTGTACTAATCAGAGAAAATAGAATTTAATACAAAAAGTGCTGCTTGGGATCGAGAGGGCCACTCTATAAAGATAAGACGGCCAGTCCATTAGGAAGATGTGACAAGTACAAGCACAGGTGCATCTCGAGTGAGAGCACCAGACAAACAGACAAAAGGGAAGGGAGAAACGGACAATTGGACAGTAAGAACTGGAGTGTCCACGCCCACTTTCAGTAATAGCAGAAACCACCAGACAGAAGATGTACAAGGAGCTGGAGGACTTGAACACACCATGAACCAGCTGACCCAGCAGATGTCTAGAGAACACTGTTCCCAAGGAAGCAGCAGACCAAGCCTGAAGTTCATATGAGAACATAAGGGTCCTGGAACAATCCAAGAAGGAACAAACTGGGATGTGCACCCCTGATGCCAGAGCATGCTGTGAACCTGCAGTGATCAGACCAAGTGTCTCTGGCATAAGGGTGGACATATCGATCAGTGGAGCAGAATCTACCATTCAGGAAGGAGCCT